CAACACGAACAGGCTATATCGTAACGGACTGCGCATGCTTTGCGCGCTCAAACGTAGATTCGGCACATGGTCTGAAGAGGTTGCCACTCGCCTCCTCTCTTCTATCATTAGACCAATGCTGGAGTACGGTTCGCCTGCCTACTTTCCGATTACCTGAGGCGAGGCACAAAAATCGAACGGGTCCAACACGTTGCTACCAGGCTGATCCGAGTTTACGTGGATTTGGGTAGGAAGACCGGTGCGAGAAATTAGGACTCTACACCTTGTCCTAACGTCGGGTGCGAGTCGACCTCATTATGACCTACCGTGTTCTACATCTCGGTGACTTCCACATGCTAAGGCCAAAGCAGCACTTACGAGGGCCATGCAGCACAAGCGGACACAGATACAAACTTGTCGTGCAGGATGTGATATGTGTTCCCCACCCACTCTGATTCGAACGGAGAGTGGTAAACATTTGGAACAGTTTGCCTGAACATGTGATTGAGGCAACATCTGTGCAACAGTTCAAAACGTTGTTAGATTTGTATTTTGCCACTATTCGATTCAGAGAACGACTGCACACTTACGACGACATATCATATTTGTAAACCCTGAAATATCGTAAGTCGAGTATTTTAAATATTACATGAGAACGACATGGATATCCACGGTTGACAACTTTTATAACGTTTTTCACCATATCTCGAAAGAGTTGTACAGAATCCATTTCTACTTGCTCTATAATACAGTATTCAGTATTCAGTAATAGCTACCTCATATGCGTAAGAGCTCATATTAAAATCCTTTTGAATATACTCTATGGGTATCTGCGCTTTCGTAGGGGGACTGAAGGTCCCGTGGCATCCGCTACATCATAATGTCTTACTAAATCCTGAAGAATCTTAGTAACCTTTGTCACCCATGCAATTCATTCTTAACTCCCGCCTGAGATACATCAGCTTCAGTCTGTCAACATAGCATACCCAGCTGTAATGCCGCATTAACATCTCCCTATGAGTATCCTAAATGTGAAACGTCATTCACTGGTACGAAATATCTGTCCCCACAGCACTAGCAAATAAACTTCAGGCGCCGTGTTTACATCCTTCATGCGTATGGATTCATAAGCATTTTAATTATTTGAACACATTCGGAAAATATTACAAAGCATCCCAATAATATTTGGCCACCACATTTCTCCTAGCAGTTTCAATAGTTTGAGCAATGATCCATGTCTAACCCAGAACCGCTTCCGCTAACACCCAAAATGTCGAACTTCCTACATCAAGGTCGGCAGCTTTTGGATGTTGATCTGCATGCGACCAAGGCGGCCGTCTAGTTAACAGGGACACAGCGAGGTGCGCCGTAGCTATCATGCGACGTATTATTATGTTGATTCGTGAGACACACAGCGAAATAACAGCGCTGGCTGTGGGTAGATTATTAACTTTCGCAATATCCATCCATCCTACCATCCGCAATCCGCGCACAGAATTCTCTCTTCAATGACTTCACTACCGTTCGTTCTGTTTGCCCAACAGTCGTTGTAACGATTTAGGAGAGTGGGATGTTGGCGCGGCATTTCAATAGCGCGGTGGCAACTCATATCTGTCGAGGTCTGTTTATTCATTCATCCTCAGTTCACCTGCACCCAGATGCAGGAATGCGGCCAACACCCACGTGACCAGGTGAGGGAACTTTTGAGGGAGACTCACATCAACTATTGGACAGTTGGTAATTTGGTGTGCATTCGTCTCACCCTAAGGCGTGAAGTTTAGTTCCCGAGCAAAGGAGTAAATTATGACCCGTCTTTTGGGACATACCATAATAGACAAATTGATGTACCTTAAATACGGAAATACTTGCCGAAATAGTACTGCCTCTCATTCGTGCCCATCTGAAATACTGCTTCTTGGCTTGCGCACCATGCCTCGTTTTGGACAAAATGGACCTGGAGAGGTTTTCAACATGTGTACTGTGATGGTTGAAGTGTTGCGGAAACAGACGTATCACAAGCGCCTGCTTAGCTTGGGCCCCATCTTTAGGCCTTTGGGTAAATCTGCTCCTAATTACGGTATCCTAGAAAATATGGTTGGACCTGTCTTCTAACCTATGTTTAGCTCACCTCAATTGCTTGACACACGCAGTTAAGCCACAATGCTACCAACTCTGAGTTTTGAACTGATTAGAGTGGTTTTTCGGTTTCTGTGTAGTTAAGGAGCGCTGGAACTAGCTTTCAGAATATAAAGTAATACTTGGTTAAGGGTTTTGTGCGTCTATCGGACAATAAGACGAGGCAAAACCAAACCTAACACTTCTCCTAATAATACATTTCCACAATTAGTTTTATTTGCCGTACGTTGCTTTTTTTGGTATGATTTTCACTTGCATTCTCTTATGATTGCTTACTTAACTTGAACGGTAGGCATTGACTGCTAGTACAGAAACGTAGACAGTCTTTGTTTTACCACGGTATGGTTTTAGTGTTACGCTCCATAACCACCAAGCATTCAGATTGCTTACGATATATTTGTTCAACGATAGCTCCGGAAGAAATACGCACGGAATTCGCCTTTCTTTCTACTCCCGCCAGAACTTGCTAATTACTTGGCCAGTGATCAAATTCGTTGCCGGATAAATTCGACGTTTCGTGAAGCAGAATATATATCTACACATCCTAAACCAGCCAACGTAACAGTGGCAACACCTATGCGTGCTTATTCACCACAAACCAATGCTATAATTCAAATAGACTCCAACCAATTATATAAAATAGCATACAAAAGTTTCAAACGTTTCACCCGTGGATAAACTCATAGTAACATTCAATCAAGTGTGGATCAAAAATATGGATCAGTTATTAATTCCTTTTTTCAATTTCTCCGTATGTATTGAAAAACTGGAGAAAAATGCAACTATTGTTGTTTGAGTCCAACTATACGGCTAATCGAAGATTCGTAAACGTCAGCTAAGTAGGATAATCGATAACAATGCAATCTGCCTGCTGTAAACGAGTCACCAACTTTGCAAAATCTTTACACGGCTGATGACTTCACCTGTGAAAGTTCACAGCAGTACTCACCCGTGTCATGATCATAAACTAAAATATAATAATTGGTAACGGGGTATAAAATAATGCACAGCGACTGAAATTTCAATTAAGGCATAAAATTAAACCTTTGTCTTAACGTCCGGCCTTTACTACCACAGAACGTAGACATGCTTACGGATGAGAAACCTGTACCAAGCATATTTAATCACACTCACTTATTGTTATGTTATATTTGTTAAGTGCTATAAGAATACACAATCGCATGAAAATGGCATGCAAGATTTTCATGAAACCCCATTTACCGAGGGGTATGTAAAAATTATACACATGATTGTAGATCACGGAATATACGTAAACAGTCAACAATTGATCGCTTTTAAAAGGTGTGAATTTCGAAAAGTTACCTGAGAATAAATCTGTTGTTGGAACAAAAGAATGCCCATATATATATAAAAGAAGCATGTTTTTCAACCTTTTTATTTGTTACACGCGTGGTAAACCTGGTAAGCATACATAACGAACGATGATTTAACGAATAAAATGTAAGAAGAAAAGTTATTATTTAACAGTTTGTTTGTTGCTCTAAGTCCCTGGTGCGCATTGTAATTACTGTTTAAATGTTATATTCTCTACTGTCCTTCTCCGTCGATATTTTTCCTTGCCTTTACTCATTTCTTTTAAAGTCAAGCTGTGCGTGAATCTAGGCTTAGAGAATACAATGTCTTCACAAGTTTCACTAAACTTTCCGGAGGCCAGAGTATTTACCGGTCCTGATTGAATTGATATTCATTGCGTTTTTTAATGCAATAAACAGACTGGCCATATACTGAAGCTATGATGATGCTGAGGAATACAATAACTTGAGTTGAACACCTATATTTTCCTAAACACTAATCGAAATGCCTGTTTACGTAAATTACGGTATTTAATTTGCACTTCGAATTTGAAATGGAAATATGATGGCTAAATAGTCTGCCGCTTTGGTACCATCTTAATTTTCTGGTACAAGTTGGTGCAAGTTAGAATACCCCACTAGATTTATGTATGTTTACATGACTACATGTTATAGTTAGAGGCATTATGATGATCATTGGACTCAATGGTATATCTGCCAACCATTTCATTATTATGAGTACCTTGAATATTTATAATAATCAGAATATATAAGCAACCTATTCAAGAAGAGCAATTGAAATTATACCACAGCGTAGACAGATAATTCTACCTATCTAGTTTCTTACTTGGGAAATCTACATTACTATTTGTAGCGCACATGTAAGAGTTAGACTTTGCTTAGACCACAAAAATAGCGCCAGTTAAAAATTAGGATTAGTCAGAATCTTTCGGAATACAGGCCTAATAGAGTAAAGACAAACCTACTGGCGACCAAATAGTTTTAGAAAATATATATAGGTGAAATAAGCCGGACAGAAACGGAAATGTGGTTTAGTAAGCTTTTAGCTTTTAATAGGCTTAATTTGAACAAATGTCAAAAGCTAACTTGCCCTTCCTTTTGATGTACATAATAGTTTAAACATGGACGTTAAATTAGGTTTGCATATCAAATTCATCTTATTTGGACGCAGGTGGCTGTAAATCACTGTAACACTGGTTTAAGTTTAGCCGGATTTGTAGTTTGTTAGCAAAGTAGGTTGAAATCACCACTAAAATTTTACATCAACAACTAGCAGCTTAAACATGCATGCCACTTGTGCCGTTAAATTCCATGTACCAGCAAGCTGTATTAACGCATAGCTACTTTGGTTTTTATTTGCAAGCTAATGTGCGGTATTCATATTGGCAGAACAACTGCTTAATTTTATTCAATTCACAAAGCAACGTTACAAGAGCGCACGCTCATTTCATTTATACACAATGTTATATGGTGGAATACGCAGAGATTTAAACTTGACATAAACAATACTATGATACATAGAGAATTACACATTCTGGAATATGTACTTACCTTTCTCCACTAAGTCAACTGTTACTGTTTTCATGGAAGCAATGTATGGGTTATTATTAAGCATTTAATCTATTTCCACTTATAATAATTGTTGGCACGGCTTTAGTTGAATTCGTTTAATGCAGCAGTTATTCGATCGAGACTTCTGCAGTGGTCTTTGCATTAGTTTGTTAACTACTGTGTGGGTACATTTTCATATACATTGGTACTTAGCGCTAATCTAAATAAAAGATTGGTACTTACAGCAGTCCTTGTCTCGCTTAACTATTTTATCAAGAGAAACGGGATTAAATATTGAAATTGAAAAGATATTCGTTTGATGACCCTAGCAGGTTCACAGAGTATACCAGGGTTAAACGTTACGATGTGTGCGGTAACTCACTTGCAAGATTCCTTGTATGGTCGAAATGAACTGCGGATGGTATTTCCGGAAAAATAGACAATAATATGCTGTATATATGTCAAGCAGTCCAAACAACGGATACCACAGTATTTGTTGAACTGATTCGGCAATTATGTTGAATTTGAATTTTCCGGTTAGTGTTAACAAATGTCCACCACGATGAGACTGGATTTCAACGCCGGGAGATGGTTTCGGTGTCATCAAATCCACTTATCATTTCCAAGCTGTTTTTCGCCCATTCACAACAATCCAGAAAGGATAGATCAAATGATAGAGGTAAGACACTCAAACTCCTGGCATTCCTGGTTGCATCTTGCAGACATGGTGGCTCCTTACTCTATAAACAGGACTCCCGGCAACCCAGTGCTTATTTGGTCAGAGTATAAACAAAGTTTTTGGCTGAGATGTCCGAAAGCCGCTGTCTAGTCCTGGGCAAAATGACCATAATTTGTTAATGCAAACCAGCGAAATCTTTCACAAAATATTTCGTTATTTTTTCCGCCTTAGTCGATACTCAAAGGCGTTCTATTTTCCTCGTTGAGCATGGTGAATGTGAGCGAAATAATGATGCTCAGTGCTTCGTATTTTCTCTCTATTAATGCACTTTCCTCTGCATCTTCATCAACTCAAATGTGCACCCAAATTTTAGACACAAAGCTTGGCAGTCACAAGTTTAAATCCGTCTATGCTTGGGTTTTATTTTCAACTAACAGGTAAAAACAGGCCGGCGCAGCTTACCAATCGATAAGCCCAAATTCATCCAGTCGAACCGAGTAAATTAAGGTCTCTTATTACAGGGTGGTACTAGCGGGGTTTGGCGGTTACTGCATTGGAACTGCCGTGATAAAGGCTTAATTGCAAAAGGATGTCTTCATTCAGTTACACAGCTATCATTCTGCTCTAAAACGCCTTCAAATTGCTTGTCTCTGTTTTCCTTTTAGACTGACTGGCGTCTGCAAAACCCAAATGGTGGAAACCCGGCCGGATTCTGAAGACATTGTGGCCGAATTGATTGTAACTTCATATGTTATCCGTTACTGGAGCACGGCCTGTTCCATTCGGACCCACTGTATTCATGATCTTAAAGAAAGCTTGTGATGAGGTGGCTCGGTGTGGTCTTTCGGAGCTGTTTTTTCGGCGTTATGCATGAGATCTGGGTAAACTGCATCACTGCGCTTTCCGTGCACAACTATGTGACTATGTAAGAATACGGCAACATGTAGTCAATCCCCATATCTCTAGCTGCGCAAGACAATAATTCTCTTTGTCACTCATCCTTAGTAACTTCTCTTTTAACGCAGCTATATAAAATGCTTTGGACAAAATACGAGGTTTATGGTTGTGAGTTGCTCCAAGGTGATCTAATATGGTAACTGGATCCTACCAATGCTATCGCCCAAACTCATAACGCATCAGCAATTGTTCGAAAAGCACTGAATTGGTTAGCTAGGGATGTCAGATGTTTGGGTTTCTGTCTTGCACATCCGAGTGCCAAACTCTCCTTTAATATAGGTAGAAACCGCCCCTGTATTGGAGCGTGGGATTATGGACTAAACTTGCTTTGAAGTTCAACTATCTGAGCTAATAAATCAGCGCCTGTGAAATAGATCGAACAGTATGACCAAATAAAGGCATGTTTCCTTAACTTTGTCAATAATGGTTCCGGTATCCTCATGAGTATGGTCCGATATGATGCCACGCATTCAACCCTAATCTGCAGCTAACAGACCTAGCGTATCAGAAAGATGAACATATAGAAGCTATTTGCGTTTGACCACCGGAGCCATATGGGTTTAGGGTAAATCCGGTGGGTGTACCACAACCAGTATTGAGCATTTTTGGCATCATAATTTTTGCTTGAGGTAAGAAGTGAACCACTCAGCGCAACTAAGTTTCATGCTTGGCTCCAATGGATGGGCTACGTATTACAGGACTTGCGTTTTATACATGAACAGAGACTAGATAGAAGAGGACGACGGCAGACTAATGAGAATGGGTCAAAAGGATAAAATCCTTGATTTAAGCATTTCCTCCTTTGGTAATCCTTGACACCCTAATTGGCTTCTTAAAAATAAGAAAAACTTTTGGGTTGTGACATATGCTAAAATATCCAAGCATAGACATCAATAGCGTCCGCGCTTTAGGTTTCACTGTTTGTCCCTATTAGCATTACCTTACAAATGCTCTATCTGACGATTCATAACATTAAACGGGCGTACTATTGCTTGCCACGGTGTGCTAATTTCTAATATGCGCTACATTTTTACTCTGGCAAATGTTCTGTGAATTTATTGCTATACACTAGTTAACGTGCTTCGCACCCCTAGCTACATTGTAAAAGGACAACAAAGCGAAAGCAGCTGGAGGCATACATTTTCGTCTTAAAATCAAATTGTTTGAAATGTTCCTCGGTTGGTGTGACGCAGACTAATTACAGGGGCACAATTTAACTAAATGTGTATGATACACACTTCCTAAAGTTATCCAATGAGATTAAGAATGGCTAAATAACTTTGCTCATTTGATTACCAAGTTAAGAATATATACTTGGTCTGGTAAATCATCTATTTCTAACTAAAAATATCTTACCCTAAGTGGAGTTTCATGCCAAAGTAGTATATAAACTTCAACGCATTTATTCCTCAAGTTTCGTACAATCAGTCGAATTTTATTGTAAGCTAAATGAACGTATACGTTAGACATGAACAATCGGAATAATCTTCTCAGCTTGTTAGATTTGGCTTAGCATAACTTCAAGATGTCTTGCACGTTTAATGCATCCAGTTTCACATATCTTAAGTAGTTAATTGTATCTTTGTCACAAAGAAATTCCTACAAGAAATCCTCACACCTTTTTCCAGTGTCAATGTTGATTAAAAAGTCGGAAAGCTTTTAAATTGTTGCAAAGAATCCTTCTTACATAATTGTATATCTTTTACTTTAATTGTCGCTGTTGTAAGGTAGAGAACAGGAAAAGAAAACGCGTATTTTGAGCATCGTATACCTCATTGCATGGTCATAAAACACACTCTTTTTGTCGACATGAGCAAATGCAGTATGCTACTGTCATACACTATTTATATAACCAACATCATAAGTATCAAAGTTGGTCAACTACTAGTAGGTAAGTTCAAGCAAAATAAAACGGCACTTACAGTTTAGGTTATCGTCTAGTTTTCAAAAATTGGACAAGAACAGAACAACCATAAAACTGCTCAAGCAGGTGTAGTGACGTATGGGATTAATTTTGTTTTAACAGTTGATAATTCCGTCTTGCAAATAGCATACGCTAGTTTCTTTGACTTGCACAAAGACCAATACATTAACTTCCTGGAAATTTTCTTGATCAATATAAACGGCTGCTTTGCATCTTGGCTTCCAGTATTTGTATAAACCGTTTATCCTAAAATTGTAGCTATGTCGTAAACTTGAACCGTCTTAACATAAGCAAGCAATACTGTAATAAAGATAAGTAAAATGGAGCTTGGAGATATCTTGTGCAAAAAGAATAATGCAAACTGTCGAGGAGCAGGTAAAGGTGTGAATAACTTGCATACATTTTATCGGGCTCATATCAGACACTATGCGGCGGCTCAGGCTGCTCTTCTGACAACCGACTCGTCTCAAAACATTGATGTCAAAACATAGTAAGCCAACATCACTATCCAGGACATTGTTGAATGTACTCTCAGAATGTAGTGAACTACCCGAGCTACTCAGTTGCTGTTTCAGTTATCCTACAAATCCACAAGGGCACGAACTGATTTTCCCTCAGAACATAACCCCTGCTTGACAACTCAATTGCCTAGCCAACAGCCAACTTTCTGGTTTGTGCAATGCACTGTTGTGATATCGAGTTACAAGTATGGTGGTGTAGATTGCGCGCTTCAGCTTGGCTGAATCACTAAAAATATCTCAAGCTAACGGCTGATATTTTTAAATCTCGTTTGGGTCTCAATGCATTCGTACTAGGTTAGGTGTTCTTCCTCTCCAGTTCCAGTTCGCGATTATCTGCTGGTTAGGTCAAGTTAGCCCGTAACTTTCCGATTGCGACTGGACAATCAGTGTACCTGAGGTATCATCGGAGAAAAACAGTCGGACATTGCGACTAAGTATGCAAACAATTAGTACAGTGTATAACACGAATAACACAAACATTAATTTGCCTTAATTCGGTAGTCCACTACAAAGACAGCCTCTTTGTCTCGGCCAAAATTCGCATGGCATAAATCATTCTGTGCATACTGTCCGCATATCATCCCATTGGTTAACAGTTTCAGGCTTTGTTTCGAGATTATATAGAACAAAATGTGTGGCAGAAGCCAGAATGAAACCATACAACTTACAATCAAGTGTTGGTGGGTCTGGTTTATGGATAAGAAAGAGACTTTGTGCATGTAGAGAGTATATAAGGCTAGAAGATATACAAGAAGATATTAATGAAAGTGGGTACAGGGTCCTGATATAAGCAGAGTGGCGTTCCCTAGTGATGTTATCAGAAATAGTACTTCTGATTTATCACGTATTTGTAATAATTAAGTAAAATAGATTTTTACCTTGACTTATAAGATGAGTCGCCGTCTGCTTTATGTGACCAATTTAGCTTGTGGTATGAGATATCCATCTTTGAACGTCTATAAAGTCATGCGCAAATTCAACGTTTTGCCGATAAACTTGTCCAGTACGATTTCTAGTTGCTACTGGCTACTTCACAAATATAAAAGGGCCTAATATAAATGTACCAAGGCAACTACGAGAAAGTACATAGTTGAAGTGGCTAAGGATGAATCTGTTTGAGAACTCGCAGGCTACGCATTCCCTAACGTTCGTAATATATGTGCTTATAGATATTTGACCTCTCGTGGCTGATTCCATGTAAGACAATTAGTCATCGTAAACCGCGTCACCATTCAGTGTTTATTCGAAAAATGTTCAAATTCCTGAAGGACACATAATGTACTTCACAAATGCTTCCTCATCCTGCGTTAAATTCCTCAAGGGCCTAAATTGGACATAATGATAAATAATAGTCTTCATTTAAAACAATTCTACTGAGAGCGACTTGGTTTGCCTGATGACGCACTTAGCTCCCAGAAGTCTATAAGCAACTGCAGTATTAGTAAACAACAACTATGCAACTTGGCACTACATTTAGACTCCAAATTTGATTAATACTAACAGGATAATGGGATGAAGCCAAAAAACTTGGTTTAATTTCAATGACAACGACTCAGCTGCACACAAGTAACATGGCATAACCGCGAATCAGGAAAAGCACCAGACACGTTTCGCCCTATTGGTGCTCGTCAGTGGTGCCCATTCCCTCGTTCCGCTATTGGGGATTGACCACATGACTACTAGAAGCTGACTCCAAATAACCAGCAGCGTAAGTCATTGACTCATGGGTGACTGTTGCTGGACTGCATAATTTGCAAGTAATACAACTGTTTAAGTTTTAACGAGATAAATTGTATATGCCGCTATCTAATATTGGTCAAGGAATAAACGCTTGCTTTATTAATTGAAGAAATGAGTTGTATTTAATAAAAATATGTCGTGTCAGCATTGAGATTGTTACGTACAGCAAACTTTTTATATCCTGACGTGCTGGATAAATTAAGCTGGTTTGCACAAAGCACTGACAAATAACTTGTCAGTAAAATCCACATAATTATCAACAAATGTAAATTTTTGTGTTGTCGTCGTATATGATGGTATACTACAGCTATATATAGGGAAATATACTATAAGGTTAAAAATTGAGTTAAATGAGTATTTATGGACTATAACAAATGTGAAAATTTGTTTATCTTATTATGTGAGGCCTCCGAGTTTTTCAAATAGCATTCACCACTAAATATGGGTTAGTATATAACTAGTTACAATGAGCTAGGTGGCATCAAACACCTTATGTCCAAGATCCCTTCATGTCCACAGCCGATTCATGCCACCTATATCAAATAATTACGTGACTATGTGAATACATACAATCTGCATGTCACTTGGAATGTGATAATTTCAATACATTGATGTATTTGGGAACAAAATTGGCGACGTACCTCCACTGCATTTCAATTTGGGATAACGGGCGCCGGCTGTTTACGACAAAATAAGAGTGTGCAGATTAAGTTGCACTGGTGGATATCCATTGTAAGATCCAGAGACTCACTAGCTAAACTTATTAAATCTAAGTGTATTCATCAAATTGATTAGTAAAGGACTGCGAACTGGCTGCTAAATCCAGTGGAGTGCTTGAAAACAATGCTTTGTTTAAGATAAAGTAATACAGATTCACATAAATTTATGGGATGGCTAGTGTATGAATAAACACTACCGTTGAGACACTACTGCTTGACAGGAGATGATCTACGAATACGTAAAAAGATGAACCAATTGCAACATTTTGAAACTGAAAAAAATAATCTGTGATTTTTGCTGAACATAATGAAACATCCGTCCATTCTCAGAGGAATCCATCACATATATACAAATTGGTTTTAAGACTTAATTACAACATTTCAAAAGAAACAGCATTTGTCACACAGCTGCACTCATTGCAACATTAATTCTAAAGGAATAGCAATCAATGAGTGGATTGCCAGAAAATGATTATACTGCACTGATAATCATGACGTCATTTCTAGTGATTTTACAACTCTCCGTTAACAACAAATGGAGTAGTTCAAAATGAAGTATAACGCAATTTCTCCTGGAACTAGCTAACCTGTTTTAGCATTTTGCTTCCATTCCACTGCAAAATAATAAGATTTATTAATGTGAACCGGTGGTGGATGATACAAAAATAGTTACTGATTTAACATTACGTTTAATTACCATTGGTAACCTATAGCGCCCACTAGAGCACAGCTAAGTATTGTTTATAATACTGCAGAATAACGTGACTCAATTTGGCAGATAATTTTTTTATTTACCCGCATAACTTATCATTTTCGCTGACCTATATCCACCATCTGATAATTTACAGTACCCATTTACGGATCTGCTTAAAGCTAAGTGATTATTGACAATTTATTCATCACCACTCATAGAAGATGCCTCAACGACTGATTGTCGCGAAATGGCGAATCTGTTTCAGCAAATGTGAACCCCATATTATTGTTCATTGTGTTTGAATTGAATGAAATGTTGCTTGATGAGTACTATAATAGTGGCGCTGGTACAAATGACGTAGCCTTTAACGCATAACTGTTTGTTTGTTTCAATGAGTTGTTGTCAGTCAGTTACAAAAAAGGTAACTTATTCCCCATGCATATTTAATAGTGCCACTTAGAAAATATAGGATTATTTATTTTTCTTATCAGTTAAGATCAAGCGTCTGTAGTGCAATATTTTTAAACAAATGCAATTCGTGGCATAATTGTAGCCATGTGTATCGTTCTCCTAAACCATAGGCATCTGATCAGTTTTGCAAAATTAAGGCCAATTGCAAACGTATATGATTTACGTGCTACTTATTAAATTATGCAAAAACCGCATTTTAGCGCAAACAAGTTTTAGGCCCGTATGCGAAAAAGCTTGTCACAAATGGAAATGATACTATTGACCTAAAATCTGATAAGAAAAATGCAACGCTTTACATGCTGAAAATTTAGAAAATAATAATGTAACTTAATCGCCTTAGATCTATCAAAGAAAGGTCTTATTTTCATAGTCTATGAACAAATTTCCTCCGCAAAGCAAAGGAAACAACATAAATTAAACTCTTTATCTCAGACTGCTGCAAATCATTTTTACACTATGTTTCAAAATGCTAAATGTAGCTGGCACTCCATCATTCAGATTCTGGTGCAAGAAAATATCAAATTTGCTGTTAGATGCGATGTGGTGGTATGCTATCATAATTGTCCTCATAGAATATCGAGCCATTATTGGGAGTGGGTTTCACGTACAGCTTGTGGATTTGTTGTCTCTAGAAACTTTGGGTTAGTTTCTATTGGCATTTACAGTGAGCATCTAATTACAGCATATCACTTGCGTTTTTTAGTTGATTACGTTTATAGAATGTGTCACAAAATTCTTCCATACTGCATGTTTACTCCTGTCTATCAACAATGTTGCACACATTAGCACATTGGAAGTTCTGAATTTGTCCAAAATATAAACGTAAGTCAATTAGTTTGCAGCAATGAAGACCACGATTGCTTCCAAC